TTTTTCTCTTTTTGTTACACAGAAGATTGTATCCTTTATATACTGTTTTAAACCTTGATTTTTCACTTAACAATATTTCCTAGAGAATACTCCATTCATTACACATTTTTGTCATTATTTTTTTGTTTAATCATGAACATATATTGTTCCAGATAAAATTTAGAAAGTGTTTATCAATCCTGGCTGCATGAAACTCATCAGTCTTCTATAAATGATGGTAAAGCCATTTCGGCCATGTCGTCTCAATGTTGGTCTATGCATGGTTTAAGTAACCCACTGACATGTTGGCATCAGTAGGCACAGTACTGGGGTTGTGGTAATAGAAAGACATCTTTCATCTTGCCAACGTGTGATTTATACTACCATTTCCTTAGCCAAAGTTTTCCCAGATGTTGGTTGCAACCCATTAGTGGATCATGAAATCAGTTACGCAGGTTGGGAAATGCATTTTTTTAATGTAATATAATGGCATATAATAGAATACAAACTACTAGAGTGCATGTGGTAAAGATAATTTTCTGCAATTTTGTTTCAAGTATATGCAAACAAATACACATATACTACCCTTCACACACACAACTCCCTCCTGTCCCACATATGTGGTGTATGTGTGTATATGTCGTTGCAATGTCAAATACATTTGTTGTTAGTAGAAGTCTAAAAGATTGACAAAACACATATCTAAGCTATTTGGCAAAAGTATCAAGAAATCGTTTCATTTGCTAGCCTAAGTGGTACTGGTGAATGATAAGATCTTCTTCTGCAGGAGTATGTATTAATATGTCTATATTTAAGCTTTAAAAAATACTTATTTGATTAACAAATATTGTACACATGTACTAACAATCAACTCTGCATCCTATAAGTATGTATAATCAATTATGTTGCAATAAAAATAAACAGAAATACATGTACAGAATTGTCTGTCCTACATAAGTATGGAAACGGAAGAATTTCCTATCTCTTGTATAGTCAGCAAAAAAATGTATATATAGTTTTCTCTTTAGTATTTCAGCATCTTCAGAAATATATCTTCAAAAGCACAGGGCTGGCTGTTTAGCTCAGCTAGTTAGAGCATGGTACTGAGAACACCAAAGTCCAGGGTTAGATCTGTGTACTGGCCAGCCACACAAAAAATGTGTATATATATATAATATAGATAGGTGTGTGTGTGTGTGTGTGTGTGTGTATATATATATATATATATACATACATACATAGGTATATGTGTGTATATGTATATATTCACAAGTACAAACTTTGTGTAGAAACAAATGTAGGAATCTATTTCTGGAAATATACAAAATAAGATGTCTAGTTATATAGAATTAAATAATCTGGCTATACTAGCATTTTTGCTTTTGTGTGTTCATATTAAATAAATATATAGACCTCAAAGCAACACTTTCAATTATATTACACCTGAAATGTTGTTGGCAACACAAACTATATTACTGAATG